CGGTTGTGTAGAGAAAAGACGGCGCTACAAAACTGCTATCTCGGATTTTCGAAATTTTGGGATTTTGGCCCCCAAAAATAAAAAATGATTTTTTTTAGAAAAATTAAAAAAAAAATCCAAATATTTTCGGATTTCAAAAAACCGGAATGCATGTGATAGTCCCTGCGCTCTTCGATATACATACCAAATTTTAGATCAATACCTCTTTTTTGGCCAAGTTATAGCGAAAAAACTGTTAAAAATTGATGACGTCAAATTTTTGAACTCAATTTTTAGCAATTCTAGAACTCGTAGCGCAAAACAGAGACCACCATTGAACTCCCCGTGACGAGCTGCATCGAATCGATAACCATTTTATGCAAAAATATCAACTTTGAAATTTGACCTAATTTGACCTGACCTTGACCTGACCTTCACCGAAACATAATCTAAGCTGACCATAAAGACTGCCTGACCCACATAATCGTATTTGGCATATAAAATGGACCCTAAAACATGCATCACATGATATTTTCATAATATGACCCTCAGTGACCTGACCTGGTATCAGTGACCTCAAATAGGAAAATATGTGTTTGAAGAACATTTCCCCATCGATGATTGTCAATGAAATGCATTTTACTCGATTTTACAACGCATTTCTTGAAATGCCTGTAAACGGTGAAAATTCGACCTTTGACCTGACCTGTGACGTCATCGGTTTGACCGAGGTCAATGAAATTGGGTCACAAGGTAGTTCCCCGTTGGGGCTATCCAACGCCGTTTGCCGCTTGTTGCTATGTTGCGTGGTTCTCGAGATCTTAGGGGGGGGGGCAAAATGGCCCCCCATCAGACCGCGTTGCTAGGCAGACCCCATCAGGGCGCGGGTTAAAACTTCTTACGAGCGAATTCACGTAATGAAGAAGAATAAAGGCACAATCTACTACAGCAGCCAATATATGACTTAGGACAGACACATGGGACTACTTTTAAATATTGTGCGACAGAAGCAGGCAACAGTTCCGATTGCATATAATATGCTATGCATATTGCGGAATTGGGGCTCATTTCGGACTCGAAAGATACGAAGTCATACGTCATAGTAACATATTTCTGTCGTGGTCAATTTGCGTAAAAAGTGAACACCGGGTGATTACCGAGCTACTGTTCTATGCAAATTTTCTGATTCAAACTCGCTCAGGGTTATCGTGCAGGTAAAGGGGGCCCGCCCAGCAGAATGCGTATGAAATATGGAGAGATTCTGAAAAATGGGTGGGGGCCCGCACACTAGGGGGCCCGCTTTGGAAGCGATGACCCCCCCCCCCCGAAACGAAATCCTGGCTGCGCCACTGCTGATAGTTCCGGTAAAATTGTCCAGTGAAATCTAACTTCATGGACCTCGAGGTTACCGATGACGTCACAGGCCAGGTCAAAGTAAAAACTATCAATGTTTGGCTTATTCACAATTTGGGCTCTGGCCGCCCAAATTGTGGCCAAAAAACTATAATTTTTGTTCATCCTTCTGGTAATGCTATTTTTGCAGTATATTTTGATAGTGTGAAGAAACCGGCTTTCGTGTTTGTTGTCTCTTCAAGACGGATGAACGCTGCTTCAACCGCTCTCCTTAGTTGTCTGCTAGCGCAATTCCCGCAAAACTGAAGCTCCATCCCACCTTGGTAAATGGTCGGACTCTTCCATGTGTATGTAGAACCATGACATTACTGAAACGATGTTCCCCTCCCGTATGTCTCTTTTGTGCTCTACCAGGCGAGTTTTGAGATCCCTTCCCGTTTCCTCTATATACATTTTGTATATATACATTGTATTTTTTGTGACACCCCCCACATGGTATTTGGTTAACTACGCTGATCTTTTCTACGTTACCGGTCGTTTGTTTACTTCTGATAATTTCGCCGCGCTTCTTTCTTGTGGTTATTACGACTCGTATTCCCGTCTTTTCCAGGTTTTAGGCAATGGTGTCAACCCCTCTGAAATTAGGGATACTGATGTCCCTATCTGGCTTGTTCTGTTTCGCTGTTTCACCTTGGTTTGATCTGCTCCTGGGTGGACGTTTCCAAATTGAGCAATGGTGTTTAGAACCCCTTGGCGGATGTTTAGAAAAATATAAAGGCATAAATTTTGATATAAGATACACATAGGTACCTTCATTTTTTAAATCCCAGATAACAGTTTGGTGGATCCTGTGCAATCTGAATCCTCTCAAAAGAACTTAAATCTAGCTAATAAAAAAACTAAGCTCTTGAGAGCGATTGCCGTAGTTCAATGTTTTTCATCGAAATCGGCCGAACATGACGTCACCCTGACGACACTTCCGGCCGATCTATGGTACTCACGAAGTTCTTGTTTGAGCACAAGGTGTCAAATCGATGTAGCCAAAGGTATTGAACGTGTCTCGTCGATACACCGAGCGGTATAGAAGTTATTGTAGAAAAACGGGAGGGGTCTATGGATAGCCCCATCCCCCCGTGGGGCGGTGGTTAACCCTATTAGTGGCAGGGGGGGTTGTTTTTATCCACCCCTCAGGTTTTTCGGGAATATCTCCGAAACCGCTGAAGCTACGATGCTGAAATTTTCTGCCTTTTCTTAAAACTAAATTGGGCACATTCCCTGAAAATTTCAAGTTCATAACTTTACCAGGGGCGGCTCCAGAGCACTGGGAATTGGGGGGTCCTATTCGTGAAGCGAGTCATTTGGGCGAAGATCACGATGCTCCACCAGTTTTACGAACAGGGAATGAAAGGTATCATGTGATAACATATACAAAGTTATTGTGCATCCTCTTTTGACACGTTTTTGCTATAATAGGCGGATCCAGGCGTCCAAAAAGGGGGGTTATTTTTTACCTCCCAACATAGGTGCCCTGACACCGCCTATGCATGACCAATACAATTTTAGTCGTTCTCTCATAAGAAAATTGTAACATAACAAGACCATTGCCACCCTGTTTAGAAACAGTACCAACAAAAACCTTATTTACTATACTTTTTGTGTACCCCCAATCTCAATGATCTGTATCCGCCTATGATTTTTGAAAATGCATATTTTTAGGATCCATGTGAATTCCTGGTTCATTCTCTATCGATCGGCAAAAGTTGCGTTAAGATTGGTTCAGAAACCTGGCCGTGATAAACAGTCTATAATGTATCTGCAATTTGCCCGTTTTTACCCCCCTCTACCCCCCTATTGACATTTTTTAATTTTATTTTTTTTAGAAATGTAGATCTCGTTGAGCGAAATCGAATGCCGTTTGAATTTTGAAAATCGGCCCGTTAGATCTCGAGATATCAAGGGGGGGTCGTAAACAGCCCCCCCTGCCACTAATAGGGGGTAGCCAGGAGCCTGCCACTAATAGGGTTACCGGTTAAGCGACGGTGACACATCACTTATATGCCATTTTTCTCAAGAAAAAGGTCGACCGATTTCGCTTGAATTTTCAGGGAGCAGGGAAAATTGATGCATAATCAGGCACCGAAAGTTTGACGTAGCTAGTGGTGACGTGTTTAGAACACATTGTGAAAAACGGGAGGGAAAGAATTTGCTGCCTTTTCCTTTAGCGACGCGCGGGATGAGTAATGTAATATCTGTAAAGATGGTCAAAATCCAGCCCAAATTAACCCTCGCCCGCACATGGGGGGGGGTTGCCCCCCCCCCCCTCCAGGTAATCTTTCTGCTCTGATACTCAACATTTTTAGAGGTAGAAGCCTGTTTTTTCTAATAGCTGCTCCTCTATCTTTTCTTGATGTTCACTAAAAATTTCAAGTTTCTGTGGTTTTTGGTTTCGGAGATATGACCTTGTTTTCAGGTCATGTCATGACCCTAATGACCAATTCTCAACATCTTGCGTTGGCTATGGGCCTTGTGAGCTTTTGACAGATTGATTTCGGCCTTTTTGCCAGTCTTACCTCCCACCTATCATGGAATATGTTGTTCGACGATGTACAGATGTCAAGGTCAGGGTCAAGGTCAACCTAGGTCAACTAAGATAACTGCGTTTTAGGCAAGCTGAATTTAAAACTGAAACTGAAACTGAAACGCCCCCCCCCCCCACGGGTGGTAGGGTCCGCCGGTAGCCCTACGGGGTGCGGGTTAAGGTGGCGCAATATGACTTCTCTCTCCTAAATAATCTGTAGGTACAGTACAGCCCACCGCTAAAGTAATGTACGGTTTAACCAATCTCAACGGTTGGCTTTAACTGGGCGATTTTTTAATGCAGAGTGATCGAAAAGAAAACGCCAATAGATAAAGTTGCAGCTGCAAGGGTGACGATATATGTAAGCTACATTCAAAGTTTCATTGTAGTCTGGCTAATCGTTCCCAAGCTTCAGAAGCAGAACGTACACATGACTGAAACCGCACATTACTTCTGCTGTGGACTGTACCTATGCGAACTCTGGCGTGCCGTAGCACGGTGAAAAAGGAAAAGGTGGCCGCGTTCTGGTCAGGCGTGTAATCACCGCACAATTGATCAGCGCCTTTATTTGCTCCCTGAGACTTGAGAGTCGTCAGTCGATGATAAAAAAACGAAAGGCGTGAAAAATGGTCTCCGTACGGCGCAGGCTGCATTTGGCATTATGTTTTACTTCATTTCATGAATGACGTTTTGTTGCATTCCGCCCCAGGCCGACTTCGCCACTGCTCTCTGATTCGGTAAAAGTCTACCCTTTCCGGCCTCTCTCCTCTCCTCCCGGCCGGCTCCATCGATCTCCCTCTCCCCGGCGGGAGGGGAGGCCTCCCCGGGGAACACAGGAGCAGCTGCCGCCGCCGCTGCACCGTGCGCGGACCGCCGATCCCACACCGGAAAATATTTATCTGTCCAGGTTAGACCGGCCGGGCTGCGGCCAAACACGCCAGCTGATTGGTTGTTTGCACACTGAGTGGGCGGAGCGACTGGGCCGGCGGCCGGCCGCTCTCCGCCAATCAGCGGCCGGCAGCGCCATCACGGGGCGGGCCGCTGTGTGGGAAATATTTGCCGGGCCGGGAGCGTGCCATAGATACCAACAGGGCTGGCCTGTGTCAGTGTGTGACTGAGCGGGGAAAGACGCGGTCGCTTGGGTCTCACTGGTCGTGTCTCGTATCTGTGAAATCAGATCAGAGCGTTAGAGTTGGACTGAGGATCCCGGCAGCAGTTACCAAGCCGCTGAACGAGTAGCGGTGCCAGGTCGACAGTCTGCAGGAGGGAGACCGGCAGAAGTCAGCGCCAGACTCAACTACCCCCGCCATGGAGCCGCGCAGTGAGGTGAGCCCCGACCCGAGCCTGCGACCGGCCGGTCCCGGCGGCCACGAGCTGGTGCGGCCCGAGCTGGCGGCGGGTGCGCCGCCCTCCGGACAGCTGCTCTTCAACCCGCTCAAGATGGGCGGTCTGCCGGGCCTGGAGCCGCTGCACGCGCTGCCGCCGCCGCAGCTGCACCCGCTGCAGCTGCAGCAGCAGCTGTACTCGCTGGCGCTGCAGCAGCTGCAGCAGGCGCGCCAAGCGGCGCCGCCGCCGCCCTGGGCCGCCGTGCCCTACCCGTACAAGCTGCTCGACCCGCGGCTGGTGGCGCTCTGCCGGCCGCCCGAGGAGCCCAAGCCGCAGCACTCGTACATCGGCCTCATCGCCATGGCCATTCTCAGCTCGGCCGAGCGCAAACTGGTGCTCAGTGACATCTACCAGTACATACTGGACAACTACTCCTACTTCCGCAACCGCGGCACCGGCTGGCGCAACAGCATCCGGCACAACCTCAGCCTCAACGACTGCTTCATCAAGGCCGGCCGCTCGCCCAACGGCAAGGGCCACTTCTGGGCCATCCACCCGGCCAACGTGGACGACTTCCGCAAGGGCGACTTCCGCCGGCGTAAGGCGCAGCGCCGCGTCCGCAAGCACATGGGCCTGACGGTCGAGGACGAGGACTCGATGAGCCCGCCGCCGCCACCGGCGCCCGCCTGGGCCGCGCTGCCGGCGCCGACACCCCGCCGTCGCCAGTTCGACGTGGCCTCGCTGCTGGCGCCCGACGAGCCCGCCGAGCCGCGGCACCGGCCCGAGGCGGCCGAACGCGAGCTCGACGTGGTCGGTGAGGAGGGCGCCGTCGAGTCGCCGCCGCCGCCGCCGCCGCCCGGGTGTGCCGAGCCTGCCGCCAGTCCCGACCGCAGCAGCGACGCCGAGATCACCGCCGCCGCCGCCGCCGACGGGCCGGTGCCGCTCAGCTTCGCGGGGTTCCGGCCGGCCGAGGCGCCCACGCCGCCCTGAGGTAGTGGCTAGAACCCTGAACGGGTGTTGGAGTTGGTCTGGGTGTGGGGTGGCTCTGCGGACAGCCGGGGCAGAGACCGGGAACATCAGACGATACTACCTTACCCAGAGACATGTCGGCGACCGTCGGCAGAACCTTTCCGTAGGAGCCGACGCAGTGAAGTCGAGCACCGCCGCTGTCGACGGGCTGTCGACGGCGCTGTCTGTAGGCGACAGTCCCAGCTCTGCCGGCCTGGTCTGACGCTCTGGTCTGTCTCGACTGGTCTGCCCCGGCTGATCCGCACTTTGTCAGGCACAGTGTCTGTTCTATGGCCTCTATGTATCGAACACCAGGTGCGGGTGGCGGTTCTAGGCCGCTCGGTACTAAATACAGGAACCGATACCAAGCGGAATCAACGCCCCAGTGTTAGTCAATGTTTGAGGGCAGCGCGGTGAAATGTCTATGTATATGTCTGCACAGAGACGGGGAAATGTGGGTATTTATTACTTCTGTTGTCACGCTGTTTATGAAGAGGGTAGTGTATGTTACCTATTAGCTGAATTATGTGACACTTATAATTATTTTCGCATTGCTTATCAGTTATCTGCAAAGTCATTCCAAAGTTTCAATGAGCAAAACTACATATATCGCATTCTGTTGTGCCAAACTGATAAAAATGTGTCCAATACCATAAAAATCGGTATGTGATGTATCGTTATGCGTAAAATTATTTGGTCTTAGCGTCGCGCCTATGTGTTTCGAAGCATCCTAAGAAACCGCCACGATATTTTCTGCCGGTGCCGTCGAGTTGATTGTAGATTTGGCGATCGCGCTTGCTCGTGTTACTCTGTCTGAAGAAATGATTACCTATGTGGTTGGATAAATAATATACGGTATGTGGATAAAGTAGTTTTACTAAAAGATTTGTTGGCAAGCTGGAAGAATACTGGTGGTCCGTGGTTGCACTTATAACACCTATAACTTTTAAAAAATATTTAGTGTTTAAAAGGTCATCTAGTTTACCCTTCAAGACAAATTAATAGTTTATTGAATGTATACATGCTATGCTCGCTGCAGTACGTATTTTCGCACATTCAGTGCTGTTTCATGGATTTATGCTAAATACAATTTGCTCTCAAAATACGATCGAGCAGATATCACAGCATGATTATTTTTACAGCAGCTCGTTATTCCTACAATCTCTATGATTGGTTTTACAGACACTTTGCAGCCAACACTGATGGCACTTAACATTTTATTTTGCTTTCTTTTACATATTTAAAGTCAATCAACCAATAATAGGCAATTAGCAAAAACACCAGTTCACTGATTCGGATACCATTTCTTTCAAAATTAGCATTTGCGTGTAGTTGTATGGTAAAGGTGAATAACTCAATACAATTTCCTTATTATATTGGCTGATATACCAGCTCATGATAAAGTCCAGCAAACTATGGTGGTGATAAAAAAAAACACCATGTCGGGCCTATGTCAGAGATATCGCTGTCCTTTTTGCACATAAATTGTCATCGGTTATGAGTCATGAAGGCCTCGTACCTTTCTAATGAACGTTTGCAACCTCAACACCAACAGCCAGCATCGCAAAGGTCACCTTTCATGGTATTAGCGGCATTTGCGGTACTTACAGAGTTAATGGTGTTTCTGATTATAACTGCGTGTACCTAACTAGCTCGGATTTTGCAGATTCTGGACTCTAAACAATAAAGACAATTGTAAGGAAGTACATGTCAATGTGTTTCAATCAGTTTTTAGGTGGCTTTTCAAAGCTTTTACAATAGAAGCAAAGTCATCTTTATCTAAATGTCTAATATAAAGAATCTATGTATAAATGAAAATACGACATATGTTACAGCTGTGCGCAACCTATATCTGAAGGGCATAAAAGTTTTATTTTTATTCGTTTCAAGCAGTTTGGTGCACCATTTACAAGTGATATTGATATGAATTCTTTTGGTGTGCACTGATTCGAATTTGATATAAGCTTGGTTCAATTTACTGATTCCAGATGATTGTCGAAAGGTATGCAATCCAATTCGACCGTATACATCCGACATTGTATAAAAAAGATGGAATATGTAAAATGCTCTGTTCGATCCTGAGATGCATTTTAGGTTCCTTGGTTTATTCTCCTTAACTTCATTGATGCATGTAAACTTTGCTTTATCATCATCCGGTCATACTGTTCTGCACATCGTTAGTGTCACAAAGTCATATTTTGCCAAATGGCTAAAAACAATATTTCAAAATGCAGCGATCAGTCTAACTGGGCAAACCACATGTGTGACACATCGTTGACCTCAATGTAAACTCGACAAGGGCCGTCCGCCGTAGCTAACTGGCTCACATCAAAATACCAGTCCCTGATTACAGCAAGCACTAGAAACACTTCCTGGTACTCGTTCGCCCCAAACATCTCAGCGCCTGACCAACACGGTACTCTACAGAAACCGGGTACATACCGCACACACAGAGGAGGAGGGCCTCATCACAGCGCGGCATTGGAGAGGGACGAGTACGGGAGGCACTGCCGGGGAATGGCAGTCACGTGGCGGGCCCGGGTCGGACAGGGAAGAGACGGTGTAGGACCGGGGAGACACGGGGTCGAACAGTAGCGGCCCGGTGTCGCACCGGGTACAGTCGAGGGCTGTAGACGGAGACGGGAGGACAGAACAGCCCTCTAGAGACGGAAAGAACGTGAGGACATCCTTCTTTGAGCGGGAGGGACAAGCATCTGGAGATGGAGATGTGGACAAGACATACTTAACTCTGAATAACCAGAGCACTAAGATACAATAAGGATGGAACTTCATAGGCTCGCTTTTTGTCAGATTAATAGTAATCGATCATCCAGCACAGTTCATTTTCGAAAACTGGTATGTAAATACGATCTAGACTATCCTAACGTTAAAATCTTGAAAATGAATGCGTACTCGACACTAGCACGATCGGCATACGTTAGGCAATGTTTGACAAATCCAGCAAATTTCCAGCGGTACCGAGTGCCTACCGTCGCCCGTCTCTGTCCTGTTGATCCACGGGCGTATGGACAACACCGTTGCCCTCTGCTCGTTACTCAGCGAATTTTCCGGGTCGAGCAAACATCTCCGGCTATAACGCTGCTACTGTATCCTCTGGACACTATCTGGGTAACGCAAACATATACACAAACAAACACACGAGTTCTGCCAGTGTTTGGAGTGTTCACTGTACCCTCAGCATCTCAGCAGGGGTGCAGCCATCACAGCTGGGTCGTGTCACCCCGGGACGGACGAACACGAGAGTTTACCGGTCTAATCGCCTTACACGTCGGTCTACCATTGACCCGTGGAAGACATGTGGTCACCCTTCCAACTGAGGTAGCCGGTACATACCTGCTGCCTCATGTCATGCCAGCTGACGCGGAAAAGCCGAGCGGTACCCAAATTTAGGGTGATTGGAGAGGAGATAAAACGTCATTCGAGTGTGTCACAAGTGGTTTATAAAGGCATCGTGAGCTAGTTGAAGGAAGCAAAACTAAATTTATACCTCAGTTCGAGCATAATTATCTAACACGAAAACATCAAGCGTCTAATATGGCAAGGCTCGAATAAGCATGTCATGCGGTACGTTGATATTCATGTTTTTCCCAAAGCCATTACTCTTTATCTACAGTAGTACTGTAATCTATACCAAAGCCCAACCATTGGCAATAGGATACGTGCATATTTGTATGTAAGTACGTACCTTGCGCGCTGTAAACAGTAAAGTGAAAGACACTTGATCGTTTATTTTCACTTTCGCATCCATCATGAGACCTGACGATCGATTTATTGACAGAGGACTCGATGACACAAAATTCCTTTTCGGTGCTTTTTTAGCAGATCTGTATTACGCGTGTGCAGACGGCGAACAGACAGACCAACAGACAGACAGACAGACAGACAGACAGACAGACAGACAGACAGACAGACAGACAGACAGACAGACAGACAGACAGACAGACAGTCAGACAGACAGACAGACAGACAGACAGACAGACAGACAGACAGACAGACAGACAGACAGACAGACAGACAGACAGACAGACAGACAGACAGACAGACAGACAGACAGACAGACAGACAGGCAGACAGACAGACAGACAGACAGGCAGACAGACAGACAGACAGACAGACAGACAGACAGACAGACAGACAGACACACGGGCGGTCACCGTGTGACGCTGCTACTGACGCTGTCCCACCTGTTTGCCCCTCGACAACAGGCGACGCCGGTCAGGAATGTTTGTCCCGGGTCATCCTATTTGAATAAAACTTTGAGCAAACCGTGCTCAATCAACAGCGGTGATGAGCCTCCGCCCGGACGGCGCAGGGCGGGAGCGTCTCGCCCGTCCAGTGTAACACACACATACACACACACACGCGGAGTCAAGTCAGCGGAATCCGTACACACCCGTAGAGCGGCAAAACGGACACATTGACACACGGGCAGTGCCGGCGAGCTTGTATAAACGCGGGCTGACAGGGATTACACAGCGGCGAGCCTACCTCCGGTCAGCGGGGGAGTGGGGCGCTGCGGAAACCTGGCAAACGTGAAGGGAACGGGAACAGAAAATCTGGAACAGTCGACATCCCAAAACCCATTAGAGCAATAACACTTGAAACCTTGCACGAGCTTTCATCGGATCTCTATTTTTAGGTTTCTATTCACGAGAAACACAGGCAAAATAGCCATCACGTCTGTGAAAGACATGACATTCAATAGTTTATTGAGACATACTGCATAGATTGGACACATTTAGCAAACACTCTCTCTCGGTAATCACATTTGTGAGTCTATCAAAGAGCTGAGCAGCCCCCTGTGATGTCGGGACCGGGCTGATTGAAAGGCTCGCTGGCCTGCCTCGTATAACCGAGAACATAATCAGGCAGCAGTATATTCCATTGTCAGTTCGCACTGTGTGACGGCCCACTGCGTCCGGACACCTTTAACACCGCTGAATGCCGCCGTCGCATTATCGGGCGCTCCATTGAACTGAAACAGAGTCCGGCGGCTGGCCACTGTCACGGCGCCCGCCCCTCCAACTATTTACAATTCGATTCCAAAAGGGCAGCGCGGTAACCCGCCGCGCGGCCGCCTCCGGCCCCGCGGCGGTCCTCCATTCAGCTGCGACCGCGCCGGGGCCGGTACAGCTCTGTGCCGCTAATACGGGCCTGTCGCCCGAGGAGCCCCGCTCATCGGTTATCTACCGGTCCCCGGTGGCAGCGCCGGGCCCGCCGGGAGGGGCGCCAGTTACGTGACAATTACCGGCGCCGGGCCGCGTCATTATCCTATTGGCCGTGTCGGGGGCGACGCGTCGGCGGCGGCGGCGCTGCGTCGCGACACATTAGCGTCGGAGGTGCCGCCGACATTGTCAGAGGACGGACGGCTGACGGCGGCGACGGGAGGCGTCGTCAGCACTGGCGGCCCCTTTATCCCAATCGAGGCTGCTGTGCTTACTCGGATTTCATAAGGACTTATCGAAATGAATTTTTAAAGAAGAGTGATTTGTACGAAACTGAACCTTGCAAAATGAGCAGCAATTATTGATAATTGGTGTTTTATTCCTGGTTTGGCAAATATCACAAGCGCAGTCCCCTAATCTTATGCAAGTAACAAAAACCAACATCATCCCACAGTGCCACATGCCACTGCCCCGGCCGCTTGCCGCCGCCGCCGCCTGCCTTCTCGTCCGTCCCACACCGCTACCGCGCGGCGGCGGCCATTCCAGGCAATCCTGAGTCTCCGAGAAGCGGACCGGTGCTCCATTCCAACCCAGCACCGGCGGTGTCACTGACAGCCGCCGCGTCTCCAGGAATGTCGCCAGTCATGGTGGACAAACTTTGGGCCAACAGGAGGGCTCGCGG